AACATTGGACCTTTTATGGATGTGAGTGCATTATTAACATGGGATCCTATCCTGCATGTTCATACTTTGTGTAAATTGACAAGTGCTTAATTTAATGGCCAAATGTTTGGTTTAGCTCTTCGCTTTCTTTTGTTTCGATCGGTCCCGACTCCCGAACTATATATCATTTGGTTAATTGTGTTTTGTATGATGAATTAATATTCGCCGTTAATTAAGTGTTAGAGGGGAATTTTGTATGATTAATTTGTTAGGAAATAACAATCACAAAATACGAAAAGCAACAAGAAAACACGAGAATTTGGTAACCCAGTCGTCAAGAATGACTACGTCTGGGGGCGCTACCAAGTCAGAATGTTACTATTATTTTCTGATGATGATTACAATGAGAGGACGGGTATTTACAAAGAATATAACCCTAACCCAATAGGAAAACTTGCGGGCCCATAATATAAAAGACCCAAAAAAAATTGGACGGCGAAATGGGCTTGGTATACATGAGTCTCTACACCTTACATAATTATGCATAGTTAAAATACCGTTTTGATTCATTTAAGAGTTAAGATACCAAAATGTAACAAGATATCATTTGTGCATTTGACTTATCAAAAAGGTTGAAATATATATTGAATTGAATACAACCAAACCCTCTTATCTCCCCATCATACTATGGCGGTAGGTACAGAATCCTGGATTTGGCCAAATGGATCGAACCCAAACCGTTAGTAATTCTATTCACTGTCTCAAACTTGTTATTTGTAGCAATCAATTTTAATCTTTATATATATATAAAAAGGGGATCGTGAGGCAAAAAATTGTTCCCTCCCTTTGCAACTGAACGGTTATCACTAATCACTATAGGCATTCTGGACACCACGTGGAAGATTGAGTAAAATTAAATCAAAATACTCTGTATTACAAATTCAGCTTATAATAAAGACAGTTTATAATAACTGCTATAGATGTGGCGGTTCATCCGAAAATGAAAATAAAACTGCACATGCACATTTTTAGCTGCACGATCTTTATGATCCTATAAATTAGTGCTCTCGAAACTCCATCCGTTTCCTGAAACTACACACTTTTAATATCGATGGCACTAAGGGAGGAAGATTGCAGTATCTCTAGGTATTTGAAATTTACTATCCTTAATACGTACGTAGTACTACGTAGTAGTTAATACACGCACAATTGCTTTTTTGACTTTTTCATGACATGTATTTGTACTTGAAAAACACATGAGGTTAACAGGATTGTTCAGGTTAACATGTGAAATCATAACGATGTTCACCTACAGTATTGAGCACAAGTGGGAGAGAATGAGAGATAGTAGTCCACTACAAGTGGAATAGATCGACCGCTTGGTAGGTATATATATCACTAACTTTAGCATCACAATTCATAGTTGGTCCTGTCATAATACAATCTTGAAGAGGCTAATAAAAATGCGTGTAAATCATATGTATATAGCTTATTCCCAAGCACACTTTGGTTGTTGGTTAAATTTTTGAATACTAATGGTATTAGTTGATTTACTTATTGCCATGTTGATGATAAAAGTTTTATATTGCAGAATTGGTGCTACCGCCACTCCAGAGATCACGTTGATCAACAAAATCCATGAACTTCACTTGAGACTTGAGAGTCAACTTGCCGGCATACCACAAAAAAAAAGGAATTTTAAGAACTCCATGGAATGCATTTTTTGAGATTCTGAGATATTCTGAGATTTTGCATATTTTTTGGAATCATATGTTGGTTGATTGTCCCGTGCATCGCACGGGTACTATACTAGTATTAATAAAAATACATCACTAGAAATATAATTTCACCCTTAATACCAATACAATCAAAAATCAAGATCAAATTATAACAATTGTACACATTTCATTTATAATCACTAGGTTTTATACTTTCTTTTAGCAGAGTCTGCTACTCGACTAAATTAAAAGAGTGGGGTACTAGTGTTACGTTAGGATAATGAGTTGGGTCCAATACTATCAGTCTATTATACCAGAGCATGTGCTTGATCAGACCCATAATACAATAAGACTAGCAAAAATTTGTAAGGTATTATTTAATTTTTCATCGGGCGGGCTAGACCATTAACGTCAATATTAATTCAATTGGACCAAACCCAAATAACATTTAATTAGCTATAGTGAACATGTTGTAAAGCCTATAAATAGACCATCAATCCCTTGTATTGAAGAAGCTATTTTTTCACTATGCTAAACTGTTGTCGGTTTCTATCTCTAAGCTATTTGAATTGATGTGTGTTTTAAATCACATGAGAGATGAGACTATGGCACAATATTAATATATGAAGAGAAGGTTTGTAACATTTAAGTTCCAAAATAGCCTTAGGCTATATGATTGTTGTGCTCCACGTTATTTATAAATACAATAGTTTGTTTATTAAATAAAGTCATACATTTTTCTTTTTTATAGTTATATTCCAATAAAAATTCCTACCACACTAACTATTCAAACGGCTATATATGGTTAATATGAACAAAGAAGCGGAAAAGTGTCCGAGATAGAACAAATTAAATGGAGTCAAGGAGCATTATTAATGGTATTTATTCCATCTACCCTAGTTATTGCACACTAAATGAAATGAGTATCCGGCTTCACAGGTAAGATCAGTGCCCTACTTCTCGGGACATCGCCATGAATCGATCATTATCATCAAAGTTCTCCATATCCGACAACAATCTATGTGTATACCACCACCTTCTTATTACTGTGGGTATATCAAGCTACATTATACGTATAGTGTTTCTTTACCATATATTCAGATATTCTCCGTATCTAATTAAATTACTTGTTACATTTGGAAGAAAATTTGCAAACGAACAGTACTTTGAAGGTGACATTTGATTTTTCAAATCTTATAATGAACCAGTTTGATAGAAACGGAGATTTGTACACATTATTTGAGATGAAAGATAATATATTATACTTAGTATGTACTATAGAAACAGAGATTTGTACACATTTATCCATCGGGAACACAACCGGGCTGCTTACTATTTAGTTGGTCTTGGACATAATTTACCACTTCGTGTAATGACATTTCTAGGAATCATTCTACTTTGTCATTTCATTTACTATAGGAAAAATGTACAAGAATAATCCCAACTATTAGTCTTCCGCTTGAAATTAGTCTTCCGCGTGAAATAATCCAAAATATCAATTATTTCAAAATAATTTCAACTATGGAAAAAAATCTCAAAATACACCAGAGACAATAAGTAATACGTAAATGACTTATAATTTTATATTGTCCATGGAGTATTTTGAGATTATTTTTTTAATAGTTGAGATTATTTTGAGATAATTGATACATATGATTAATTCAAGCAGATCACTAATAGTTCAGATTATTCTTATCCATTTTTCTTTATTGTATGTTTTTTTATATTTCTCAACCACATTTTATTATGAATGAAAGATAGACGTTCTTGTGTTTGAGCCTACCAAAAAAAGAAACATGAATGTTGTTTAGATTCTACTTGTGAAATAGTGACATCCAAATCATGTTCTTATATAATACGTCTAAAAGAATTAGCCTTCAAAAGTACGAAACTATTTCAGCTCATTTGTATTTTTAACAATTTTGTATGATCGAGTATCAAATTTAAAACTATTACAACATCCTAAGTTTGCTTTGTTTAATTTTTTTAAGGGTTAAAATTAAAATATTAACAAACGATGACGCCGAAAAAGCGCTCATCATTTTATGGCATTATGACTTTTCTTATGTAAATCAACGGAATGATATTTCAGCTCAAGCTCATCGATGGGTGTACCTAGCGTAACCTTAATTGATACTCTTCCTTTGCAAAAAAGGATTGTTATTACTTCTTTTCATGTTTATTCGAAATAAGCTAAGGTTCATCCGTTCTATTCCTTTTTAAGACAAGTAATGTACAGCTTTATCATTTTTTCCTCTTTACCCATCTTTAAACACAAAATTTTTATTGTCTTAACAATTCCTAGTCTACTAGACAAAATCAAGACCCTTATTTTTGGGGCGCGCTAGGGAAGCATATATGCTAGATTTAATAAAAAAATTATAATTCCCCTTTTGATTGATACCAAATTATAAAATAGTCTTCGTATCTCTTTTTAAGGAATAAAATAAGTGGTTAATATATGATTCTTTATTGACTTTAATAGTAGTAGTATTTTTGAGTAACTATGATAAGTTTTTTACATAGTAGTAAGCATAGGGCATCCTCATGCATTAGTTTATTTAATGTTTAATCGGATGATGAGTAAAATTATTTAAAGATTATCATTGTGAGTGAATGATTATTTAGGGAGATTGTTGAACATAATATTTATATTTAACGCAATTTTTATGATATACATAGTAATTATAACAACGGTTAAGTTGCATTTTGTCATTAAGTTATGCTATTTCATTAATTAATACAAGTATATTAGATAGGAATTGTTCAAACAAACATTTATATTTGTTAATTAAACTCATAGACAAGTATATATATGACTAAAATTACTATGAGTATCCATAATATCACAGCAGTCACTATATATAGTATAAAGTTTAATATAATTATAGTAATTAAAAGTCCTATTATAAATAGGACTAGGTCACATTTTTGTCAATATATACATTGTCATTATTTCCATTATTGTAAAAGGGGTGAATTGACATAAGGAAAAGATGATGGTTTGCCAAAAAATGTGCGTAAGAAAGGTGATAAATGGTGCATTGCGTGTGAGGGACCACCACAAGCAAAAAGAGACCTAATCATAACACTCAATCAAACAAAACATATGATTAGCTGGGTAATGCAATAGTTGTGCATGTTTTCATGCAGATGATAATGGGTGGATCATGTGAGCAGCACCTGATGATATGGTGCATTATTGATCTTCGGATCTCTCCATCTCACTCGAATCATATTATCGTACGGCACCCATAATAAAGCTTCATTAGTTAGTTCTACGTCGTCCACAAGCAAGCTCCTCTCACAACAAATCTTCTGTATAAATACTAAGCCACCATTATGGTTGTCTTCATCAACTCTAGTGAGAGATAGGAAGAGATTTATATTATAGAGAGAATTTAAAAGGGGTTTCTCTAGAACCCTCTTTACATATCTTTATATATATCTTGAACGTAACTCCTCATCTTAGCTATAGCTAGCTAGCAAGATCAATATATAGTGCTTAATCATTGAAGATATTTTTGTTGTTTGAATTGGGAGGAGCTTAATTAGCTAGCTAGCTTTTGTGTTCCTAACAAAAACTTACAAGATGGCTCTCTTTGATCTTCACCACCCTTGGGTCCTTGTGTTTGGAATCCTTGGTAAGTTATCCTATACATACACACACCACAGGATTTACATATGAGCTATGGTGGATTGAAATAGCCCACAATAACTTGTACGGAGTAATTTTTTATTTTTTTTTTTGTGTGAATTTTTTCTTTTTCATATATAGTTTGGTTAATATTTAACACTAGTATAATTAATCCTCATGCACCCTACATAAGATCCTCACTTTTATATCCATGATTATCGTATGATTTCCAATATTAGATCATACTTCTTCCACCTCTTATAATTTATTCTATTTCTATTTACAAGTTAAATATTAGAGGAAAGAATTGTATAATCGGAATTGGTGGAGAAGCGATCGCGATTAGTTAGTTTTAAAATGGAAAAAGACAAATTTTTGGATAACTAAATAAGAATAGACAAAATTTAGTAAAACTTTGGTAGTATATGTTGTGGAGTATATCATAAATCAGAGTTAGTTATACTTGTACTCCATTCATCTCTGAAAAATGCACCTTTGACTTCGCATACTTTATAGGTAAAAAAGAAATTGTAAGATTTGGGTACGGGAGTGAGGTAAAATTTGGATCATACATCCCTTTATTAGAATGAAAAATGGGTTCTTTTGGAATGGACCGAAAAGGATATGAAACCTTTTTCAGGTTGGGAATACTAAATGGAAAAAAATGTTCCAATACTAATAAAATATTCCATGTTGATTTAAGGCTGATTTGCAATTGCTTAAAAAAAGCACTTCTCGGCTTTTGGGTTAAAAAACACTTATTTACCAAACACTACCCATTTTTACTTTTCTCGGCTTTCATGCGAAAAGTGTTTTTTTCCTTTTATATTACACAAAAAACACTTATTTTACCAAACACTACCAACTTTTACTTTTCAAAATCACTTTTTTCTCAAACACTAACAACTTTTACTCTAATCACTTTTTTCAAATCACTCCAAAAGTGTTTTTTTAAGCAGAACCAATTGCAAACACTCCCTTAATAAATGGAAAAAATCCAATACTACTAGTAGACCTACCCTGTTTTTCCTAGTATATGATTACATGTTTTTTTACCGTATATGACCTCATTTATTAATTGTGAAAGGCTGAATTTATGTGTAGATAAAAGTCGCTAAAATTTAGGAACAATAAAATATATAGATCATAATTGTAACATGCACCACTTTATGGAAAAAACCTATCTGAAGTAAAAAAAAAAATTAGACAAACATATATCTTGTATTAAGAGTAGAGGTAATTTTCTCGTAATAAATTTGTAAACAAATATAATTTTTGTGTTACAGAGAACTGCTTATTTATTTCAGAAAATCTGATAGATGGTAATTGACAATAAGGACCTTGTATTGTATAAGCTAAAATTTGAAGGATACATTTCTTTGTTAGAATGAAAAATATGTTCTTTTGGAATGGACCGAAAAGGATATGAAGCCTTTTTCTGGTTGGGAATACTTATAATTTATATGCTGATTTATTAAATGTGTAAACAGATTTTCGTGTTAAAAATAATTGTTTTTTATTTCAGAAAATCTGATAGCTAGTAGTCGCGCGACAACATGGACCTTAAATTATATTTTTAATTTTAGTGAATGTTGCGCTACCCATAAAAAATGAGATTACCTATCAAGCATTTAATTGGTGAAATTATCATTATTGTATCATTTGTTTATTTTAAATTACCATATATATACAATTTGTCATTTCAGAAAATCTGATAGATGGTAGTTGACAATAAGGACCTTATATTTTATAAACTAAAATTTGAACGATACATTTCTTTGTTAGAATGAAAAATTTGTTTTTTGGAATGGACCGAAAAGGATATGAAGCCTTTTTCAGGTTCGGAATACTTATAATTATGTTGATTTACTTAATTTGTAAACAGATTTTCGTGTTATTCTAGAAAATCTTATAGCTAGTAGTCGACAACATGGACCTTAAATTATATTTTTAATTTTAGTGAATGTTGCGCTACCCAAAAAAAATTAGATTACCTATCAAGCATTTATTTGGTGAAATCATTATTGTATCATTTGTTTATTTTAAATTACCATATACGATTTGTCATTTTTCTTGCGTATCTAACCTACTAACCTACCTAAGGATGTTTTCTTTTGGACTGAAATTTGCTGGTCTGATCTGGCCTGGTCTGGTCTGATCTGATCTGGTCTGGTCTGGTCTGGTAAACGTCTGGTCTCTGTGTAATTTATAACTAAGAAAGTGTGGTCTGGTCTGATCTGCTCTGCTCTGGGACTGAAATATCCTAAGCAGTGTACTTGTTTTGTTTCCCTTTCTTCTTTCTATGTTCACTCCTAGCTAATATATATGATCGAGTTATATAGACCTAATATACGTACGTTCTAGGAAATATACCACATGTTTAATTACTGTATTCGGTAAATAAGCATATAAAGAAGTGCGGAAGTTGGCCTTTTCTCGTCTACTTAAATTTCTTGTCCCTTTTAGGTATTTTCTGTTAGTAAAAAAAAGTACGGAGTATGCATGTCCCTATTTAGTGTGTATTATATTTTAATTAAATCAGTAGTGGAACAAATAAACTTTCAACTATATATTTCTATATTAGAGAAAACATAATATATATTAGATACATTTATTAGATACAAGAGTATATTTATTCATTTTTCCTGTTAAATATTATGTACAAGCTAAGTTAAACTATTTAATACTCGCTCCGTCTCATTTTACTTGTCATATTTTCCTAATTTTCGGTCCCAAAATAGGTGTATTATTTCTTTTTTTGGAAAGAAACATGTGACATATACCATTTCATTTTATTATACTCAAACTTCAACCACAACTTTTACTTTTTCAATCACTTTATTAATTATCGTGTCAAGTCAAACCGAGACACATAAAATGGCACGGAGATAGTATTTATTAGATACATTATTGTAACTACAACAATTCACTATGAATAACATCCGCAGCTCATTCCATATCTTCAGTCTTATTTACCAGGGCCGGAGTATATACATACAATAGTTATTATGTGAAAACACATGAGATGGTATCAAACTAATGAAATTATCAACTAACACCACGCACTAACATTGAAGAATAACAAATTGCTCCGTTATCTATAGTAGTATAGTACCATACACATGTGTTTTTATATAGTATATAGACATCAAGACATGTATCCCTATTATACATTTATACGGAGTATATTTTTTTAAAAAAAAAATTATATTCATATGCACACATATTTATGTGTGCATGTGTATATGTATTAATGTATGTATATCCTTATATGAGTAATAAGATAAATATATATAAGAGAAATATGGTCATTTTACATGCACAAACACATTATATTCATGTAGCATTACTCTTATTATTTGGTTTTGATGGCTTAATAATTATATATTGTCATTTCAGGTAACATTGTATCATTCTTTGTATTCTTAGCGCCGGTGTAAGTGAACATTCTTTTCCTAAGCACCTTTAACTGTTTTTACTACGTATTCGAATTGCTTACTACTACGTAGTTGACAAAGTTTTCCTCTTGATGAATAAGATGTACAATTATCACATAATTCCATGACAAAGTAAGTCGATGTGTTTTGCATGTTGGGAAAACATATGATGAATAAGATGTACAATTAGCACATAATTCGTTAACATATTATATACTCCGTACTATGGTATCATTTATTTAAAAAAAAACTCTAGCTTTAAAGCCCTCATATTCAAAGAATCCAAAACATAGGTCCTAGGAGGTTTTTGAGTGGTTTAGAAACAAGTCAACAACTTCAAGCAATTCCTTTTAATTTAATTTAATTTAATTTAATCAACAACACTCTAGTCCCAATTCTAGACTTGATAGGTGAGAACTAAATTAATTTAGGTGAACTCAATTGTATATACCAAAATCGTTCTTTTAATAAATATTCGGTTCGTTAACACGTTTGATTCATGTAGTAAAATGGGTTTCAGTGAATCTTGATATATAGGTGAGAAAATAAAAATAAATTTTGAGAGAAATTGAATTCCAAAAATCTCCAATTATAAAGTTTTCAAATTTTGGTCTTAAAGTTTGGGTTTAATTTTGTGGATGCTCAAATTCTTGCCATAGAATGGTAATACACATGCAAGTACCAATAATATAAGAAGATTGAACGTAGATCATCATAAATCAAAGGAGCTCAGCCTAACTAGGTTTAATTTGAAAATATTTGTTTAATCCTTTATATTTAGAACCGGCAACACATGGATACAGTGGCGGAGCCAGAAATCTATGGTTGAAGGGGCCGGTCTTTAAAAATTTTACATTGCAGGGGCCAAAGTTTAAAATATCAACATATTTTCTATAGATTAAAAGTATTTATACATAATATATACTTAAGAATTTTTTTCTTGCAGGGGCCGTGGCCCCCTCCAGCCCCTCCCTGTCTCCACCCCTGCATGGATAGCATTGGAGCTAGTATAAATAATGCTGTATATATGAACTTAAGTATGTTCATTAAGTAATACTTTTCGTACATGATTTGCAGACCCACATTTATTCGAATCCACAAAGCAAAATCAACGATGGGTTACCAATCCCTACCATATGTTGTGTCCTTATTTTCTGCCATGCTGTGGATGTACTATGCTTTCCTCAAGAAGAACGCTCCTCTACTCATTTCCATCAACTCCATTGGATGTGTCATTGAAACTCTTTACATCTCGATTTTTCTTGCTTATGCTTCCAAAAATGTTAAGGTACGTGCCCTAATTAGTTCATACAAAAGATATTGTTGTGAAAAAGAGTGAGACATAAGTTATACGTAGTATACATAAATAGGTAGTGTATCATTAATTTAAAAAAAACTTTCAATCATGGTCTTAAAGGAACAAAACTAGTGAATAGTTTCTCATTACTCTATGTATACTATCTTAGAAAAACAACAATAATCTTATTGCAAAAAAGACATGTTTTATATTCTAGCCTTATTTGCAGAATTCTTCTCTTCGTTTAAATCATTAATTATTAAAAGTAGTGACGAATACTTTAGAGATAAAGGTAATGCACAAAAAAAATTATACTAAAGTAGTAATATTAATCACCATATATAATACGGTCAATTACAGTTCACACACTAGTGATCGTGATAATATACTCATAGTACTTTAGTCACATTTTTAATTTGTATTCATATGTTTTCATTATGGTAATATTTCAGACAAACTGTAACTATTAATAATAACTTAAATATTTTCCTTTTCATTAATTAAAAGTTACAATCATTTGGTTTTGTGATCAAAATATTTCTTAATTGCAAGTAAAGACACTGAAATCCCAAATTAAAAGTATTTTATTACTACATATTTAATTATGTTTGAGGCAATTTATGTTGATAATGTCCCTCGTATGCAATTTCCTCAAAGTTTAAATAATGTAAAAAAGTACGGAGTATAAAACCGTAATAAATACTACGTATATTTTGGTGTTCCAGCGTCAGACCGTGAAGATGTTGTTTCTATTGGTGGGAGGGCTGTATAGTGCGATTTTGCTGGTCACTATGTTTCCGTTGAAAGGCAACCTTCGAGTCAGCGTTGTCGGATGGATTTGCGTGGCTTTCTCTGTCTGCGTTTTTGCAGCTCCCCTCAGTATATTGGTATACTTTTATTATTTTACTCTCCGAAAATAATTTTATTTTATTTAATTACTTTTTTCTTAAATGACCTTTTCATTGATCTATTTGTGATTGCTTTTAGACCATGTTCGTCAAATTGACCTTTCTTGGTCAATGTTGGTGAACTTTAGACAATGATTTAAATTTTATACTTTTATGAAAGTATTTTCGATAAAGAACATTTTGATATAACTTTCAAATTCAAAGTAATTTCATATTAAAAAATACCATTGATCAAAGTTAGTCGTCATTTATCAAGAAAAGTCAATTGAGCAAACCCGGGAGGGAGTACTATCTAATAGAATGTGTACGTATATTAATACCAATATTTTTTATTGCAGTTTCAAGTGGTCAAAACGAAAAGCGTCGAGTATATGCCATTCAACTTGTCATTCTTCCTCACTTTGACTGCTGTCATGTGGTTTGGTTACGGCTTACTTTTGAAGGACATGTGCATTGCTGTAAGTACAATTAATTAACTATGTGAATTACTCTCAAAAAAAATTAACTATGTGAATTTCTCTAAATCAAATACTCCCTCTGTCCCTAAATGTTGTTCCAACTTTCCTTTTTGGGATGTCCCAAAAAGAAGTTCACTTTCCCTTTTTGGCAAAGAATTTGTGGTTCACAGCATTTCTCTCTCCTCTGCACAACTCTCCACCACACAATTCCCACTTTCTTAATCACCGTGCCACTTTAATTTGGAACAACAATAAGGGACGGAGGGAGTAACAATATATTATATGTTTTTCTCATTTCAATAACAGTAACTTCTTGTTATTTTGAAATCACATTGTCATGTTTTAGTATAATCTGACAATAATATGACGGTATTAATCAATAATACTATCGTACTCTCTCCGTCCCATAATTATCTTCATTCTTTCCTTTTTGGTCCGTCCCAAATTTATCTCCTCTTTCCCTTTTTAGCAAAGGATTTGTGGTTCACAACCATTCTTACACATTTCCAGGGCCGGTCCTGGGGCATGGGCAGGAGGAGCATGCGCCCAGGGCCCTTTGCTCCAGTAGGGCCCATAAATTTCTCAAACATATATGTGCACATAAATATTTTAATTATATATACATCCTAAATCTATAAAAAATAAAAAATAAAATCAAAATTATATTTTTAGATACTTCTAATTTGTTATTTACCATCTACACGATACAAGTCTATAATTTAGAAACATCCACATTAGAATTCGTTGGGAACATATTTTACCATTTCTTTTGAATCATTACGGATTATTACATTAAATTTAATCTTTAATGACTTAGTGTACATGTCTTATGTATATCCAGAATTCATTGATGTATTTCACAAATTTCCTTCAATTCTCTCTTTAGTGAAAAATTGAACTTTAGTGTCCATAATTTAGAAACTTAGAATTTATTTTTGTCTAGTGAATATGTGATTTAAAATATGATAAAGTTACTCCTTATACAAGATATAACTTTCACAACTTTCTTTAATTCAAAAATTTTATTGTGCCTAATATATAGTTGCAATACTTGTTTCACTCGGCTGTTAGGTACATTGTATCATCAAATGTCACTTATCAATACCCTCTCTCTCTCTCTCTCTCTCTCTCTCTCTCTCTCTCTCTATATATATATATATATATATATATATATATATATATATATATATATATATATATATATATATATATTTTCTAACCATGTGCTTTGTTCATTTTTTGATGTGTTATACTGTACTTTGACTGTAATATTGTATAATTTTAAATTATACTAGTAGATTTTCATAGCAAAAGGACATTATAAACATTCTCGCGCTATCCTTGAGGCCCAGCCTATTTGTATTGTCCCGGGCCCATAAAATTTCAGGACCGGGCCTGCACATTTCTCTCTCCTCTGCACAACTCTCCACCACACATTTCCCACTTTCTTAATCTCCGTGCTCAGTCAAAACCGAAGTTAATTCTGGGACGGAGGGAGTAATAGATTTGTTTTTGAATTTACAGATACCCAACGTGTTGGGATTTGGTTTGGGAATGATACAAATGGTGTTGTATGGAATCTACAAAAACAAGAAGCCGGCTGAGATGGTGGACCACAAAAAGGGCAGCTTGCCGGATCACGTCATAAACGTGGCGGCGCCACCGGAAACATGCGACCAAGAGCTCCATTCTCTGGATTCTAAGAGCCAAGAGAAATGCACGACGACGCCTATCATCGGTACTGCGCCGCCGGGTCTACCGCCGCCGATAATCCCAAACATTGATGAAAACGCATTAGCCCAACTCCACGGCCATTTGGGCGAGCAGCTGCCGGTCGCCGTCGTGTGCGCGGCTTGAAAGTTTATTATTTATTCGTTCATTTCCGTTGATATATGATGATGTACCAATAGCACTAGCTAGCTTGTTATTAGCATATATGTATACAATAAGCTATATGGAGTTTTTTGGGGGTTTATCATACCTTTTGTTAAATTATGACGTTACGTACGTTAATTTGTTACAAGCTTTGTACGATAATGACGTTACGTAGTATTTATCTATAATCCTAGTTATATATTGTTAGAATTTTGTTCATTTTGACCTCCTCGCAGTATTTCTATGTAATTAAACTTAAGCGCACAAATAAATATAATGGAGCTAGAGTTTGAATTTTTAGTGCGGCCTTACACTTATACTACGGTATCAACTAATTTCTAATAGAATGTAATGTACTCACCTAGTTACCTCGGGATCATATTTGACTTTGCATTTAGTTTTTAGAATCATAAATGTATGCACTTCAGTTAGTACAGTCATTTCACATTATTAATTTTAATTTTGGACTGAAATGCGTAAATTATTAATGGTGTGCAAAGTCAAATCACTTTTACGACCTCATGACTCATGTAATTGAACTTTGAAGCCTTTGTGGATAAAATCAAAGCACAAATATATTATTCCATTAATTACTGCATGACACCACAAATTACTCTTTTAGTCGATATGAAATTGAAGAAACTGGTAGTTCTACCTTCATTTTAGAATTTAGATATACTTTTCATTATTATTATAATCTTTACAAACATAAACCATGATATACTTTAAAAAGTTTGAGCAAATTTATCGGCTTGTTCATAAGGGGCCATACCATGGTTATGGATTGGTTTGACTTTGATACCATATTAAGATTCAGGTTTCATCCTAAAAGATCTATCTATTAGGAGAAGTAGTCCAGAGCTTAATATAGCACTCTAATGCTTCTTAATTTACCGGTGTGGGACTATCGCTTATCGGTACATGTTATGAAATTAAAATAAACATTCTGACCAGTCGTGCATGCAGTGGAGGATCTAGGGCGGGGCCTACCGGGGCAAGTGCCCCGGCTTCCGGCCAGGAATTTCACTACTAGTACTTAGGGTAAATAGGTGTCCCTGCTTCCGGCTAAAATTTTCACTACTACTACTTCAGGTAAAATTAGTGCCCCAAGCCGTACAAAAAATTATTAGTATGACTATTAGACAATGAAGATACGAAAATGTTACAGTTATATAAATTATCAGTCAATACACAATTGCGATTAGTTGTTGTGGCCAATTGTTTTGAATGAATTACGGTTGAGCTTAATGGATTGAAGACTCTAATATTGAATGAAAATCCACATGCAAAATATATTCATTGTTTTGCTCACCAATTGCAATTAGTTGTTGTGTCCGTTGCACACACAAAAATAAGTTTGAGAGTGACTTTTTTGAATATTTGTCCGTGGTTACTAACATGGTAGGATCTTCTTGTAAAAGAAAAGACGAGTTTCGGCAAAAACAACATGAAGCCATGGTAGAGATGGTAGAAAAGGGTGAACTTACAACTGTGATAGGATTGAATCAAGAAAGTAGTTTAGCTAGGCCGGGAGCTACACGTTGGGGTTCACATCATACAACCATTGTTCGTATTCTTTCTATGTGGTCTCCTACCATTCAAGTTCTTGATAATATATTTGATGATGGAACTGATCTAAAATCGAGAGGCACTGCTAGTAACTTGATAGAAAAGATGGAGATTTATCAATTTGTTTTTATTGCTCACTTGATGAAAAAAGTATTGGGGCTGACGAATATATTGTTACATTTCTTGCAACAACAAAATCAAAACATTCTCGAGGCTGTGAGCTTAGTTAAAAGCACTAAAGCTAAATTTCATGATTTGAGAGAAAGTGGATGGGATGATCTCTTGGAAGATGTCAATAGCTTTTGTGGCAAGAACAAAATTGACATTCTTAAAATGGAAGAGACGAATCATCGTTCTAGACGTGTTCGTCACCCGATAACAAATTATCATCACTTTAAAGTTGATATATTTTGCCAAGTGCTTATTATTATTATTATTATTATTATTATTATTATTATTATTATTATTATTATTATTATTATTATTATTATTATTATTATTATTACCCAATACTTATTTTTGCTTTGACATTATTATTATTACTATTTTTTCATTATAGGTGATTGATCAGATAAGTCTTGAGATGGAGAGCCGTTTTAGTGAGTCAAACACAGAATTACTCACTTGTTTAACATGTCTTGATCCTAGAGATAAGTTCTCCAATTTCTGTGAGTCAAAGCTACTGAACCTCGCGGAATTATATTCAGGCGATTTTTCATCTGTTGATCGAATGGAGCTGAAAGAGCAACTCTAAGTGTGGATATATGAAATGAGAACAAATGAATTATTTTCTGCCGTACAGACTATTAGTGAAGTTTGCAAAAAGATGGTTGAGCTTAAAGTTCACAATTCTTTTCACTTGGTATATCGTCTGATTGAGTTGGCTTTAGTATTATTAGTTGCAACAGCCACCGTTGAAAGAGCCTTCTCTGCGATGAATATTATCAAGACAGTTCTTCGCAATAAGATGGAAGATGATCATCTTACAGATTGTTTGGTGTGCTACATCGAGAGAGATGTTTTTAGGAGTATTGATAATGAAACTATTATGCAACATTTTCAGAATATGAAAACTCGTAGGCTTGATTTACCAAAGTTGCAGAAATGAACTATTTAATATGTAATTAACTACTCCGTATAATTTATGTTATTGCCTTACTTTTTACCATCTTTATTACATTTGAAATTTTTATTATAGAGTAAGTTTAGTGTCTAGTGTACCCCTGCTCTGACAAATATCTGGGTCTGCCACTGCGTGCATGTTTTGGCTCTTTGGATGCATATCGGCTGCTAATGCAAGTCGCTATATTAACAAAGAGCTTTATTTTGCTAGTGTTTGAAAAACGAATTATCAAATATTTATGCTACTAATATTAATTATTAAATTATTAAAATATACATTGGGCCCGTTTGGTGACCCCTTTTTCGGCTTATCAGGCGCGGCAGCTTTTTCATTAAACACGTAACTTTTTATTTCACGCGCTGAATTGCATGTGTAACAATAAGAAAAACTAAGGTTGAAGTTACTTTTTTGGTTGTATTGGCAGAAGTTACTGTAGAGGATCATTTTAGCTATTTTTCATATATATTTTTATTTTATTTATAAATAACAAATATTTTAAATATAATTTTTTCATAAATCAGTAGAATCAACTAGTTCAACTAATTTCAATGTTACCAAACGAGCTCTTCAATTATATATTGGCCTACGCCTTAAAATTCTAGCTTACGTACCCTCCTTACGTTGGGAAAAATCCTGAAATAGGATTAAAGCGTTTGAGAATTCCAAAATAAGATTGTCATGTTTGTATTCCCTAAATAAGAGTAACTACTAACAAGTTCGGAAAATATATATTGTCATGTTTAAAGTCTAATATTATCAAAACATGACAGTAAATAGTCTTATTTAGGGAATAAAAACATGATACTTCTATTTTGGAATAGACAAACACATTTACTCCTATTTAGGACAATTTCCCGTTACGTTTTAGATCTCTTTCTTTAACTATTTGAAAATCGTTTATTTTTTATCATCAAAACATGCCTCTTTTCATATCAAAAGATTCAGGATCATTACATCAAGCAAAGGGAAACTAAAACAGACACCAACTGAAACTCCAACAACTACGACTGTAACCCTATGGTGAGACTTTGAGACGGTCACCCCTGAGAGAGCAACACGAATCGCTAACCATGTAGTGGGCTTGACACAGCCAAAACTATTCCCATAGATCCAAACATACTCAATGACATAAAGAGAGACAAAAAACTCAAACAAACTGTCAAACCCCAACAACATAAATGGACGCAAGAAAACAAATAACAAACAGATAAAAACTACAAGAAAAACGTCCACGAACTCTAGCACCTTGTGCATCCCATGATGGTTGTTCAGGAGGAGGTCGTACCACTGGTACCATGCTAATTGATCTTCCATGACCTTTGGCTGCCAAAGACCATGCATCAATCCTCCGTCCCTGCATAACCAAACTCATCCCTGCTCCGTGCGACCAGAGTAAGCGGATAGGCGGCGCCGATCTTCTCCAACGACGATAGCAACGCCGCATCCTCAAACCTTGACCACAACGCCGATCTCCTCGAGCCATGATAGCAAATCTGCCCTCCTCCACTGATCTCCGCCCTCCACGTCTGACCTGGACTCCAGTCGAGCACCAGCGACCAAGGGATAACAAAGCCGATCTTCGACAAAGTCAAAATCGGAAAAAGGCTCCAGGGGCCGACATAGTCAAAGCCCTAGAGAGAAAAACTCGTGATCGCTCTACCTGAGCCAAAAGCAGACCATTGCTCCGCGGCCAGATATGCGAACAAGAAAAGCCGAACTTCGATCAATATGATCGAATTCGGAAAAAAAAGCCTAGATGAGGCTGGCCTAAGAGAAACGATCTATTTGAAAATCGTTAAAAACGAAAAGTTACTATGAGTAATTAATTAATTTATTAGAAATATTAAAACAAACAATTAGTAATTAAATAAGTAAAAAGTTGTACAACTAATAATTTAATAATAACGAGTAATGTTAGCATATCATGACTACTTATTACAAGTATCAAACTAAACAAAAAGTAGAAAATAAATCAATAATAATATAGAAATAATTAAAATAAATATTATTTCCAAAAATGTGATCGGTTAAGGATAGTGGCTATAGTAGTACAATTTTGCTCTTTGTACACACTATTATACACACCCAAATACACACTATATAAACTCAAAAAAGTTACCCCTTCACCCAAAGAAAAATCACCATCTCACCATCCGCCTCTCCTCTCTTTATTCTTCGTGCATCATTTCCTTTTCTCATTCCCCTTTTCATTTGTCCCTCCTTTCCCAAATCCCTAATCTGAAATAGATCTTGCTCGTCCTCGCTTGTCTTCAATTTTGAGTCCAACAGGAGCGGCATGATTTTGGCTGGATTCGTCCTCTTCTCCAGTCTCCCCACCACTTTGTCGCGGTCGTTTTCCGGCGACACCACCACCGTAACGCACCGCCTCCACACCTCCCCATCCCTATACCCAAGTACCCAGTCAAATGGTAAAGGATTTGAGAGTTGAATTAGAGACCACCCAGTAAAGGATAGTTGAATTCTTCAGGCTTTTCAAAAAAAGTTGAATTCTTCAAGCCTAAACCAGGTGTGTAATTACTTTAAGCTTTGAAATAAAATCACAACTTGATTTTCTGAAAATGGATATTTGTTTACTCCTTATTATGAT